GTAGGGATAATGCATACTGGTATTTACCAAACTGATTAACCAAACTGAGAACTATGTGAATTGTTCATTATTAGGGGCCTCACAAAGCTTCGTGGAATTCTAGGAACTGTCTGTTCCTGGCTCAATACTTGTCCAAGAACTCTAGAAGGAAGAGCGGCAGAATTTCCTCCTATGCTGGATGTTTTCCTACACATGAAGCCACTGCCTCAAGGAACTTGGGGCAGGTGTGGGGGTGGGGTCTTAGCTCTTTCAAAGGGAGTACAGTGGGTGGACAATGTGTAGCCTGAAATATAAAACTCTCAAATCTCTCAGAAGGGGCACACAAGGTGCCTCTCTGACTCAATGGTGACATCTTTGTTTGGACAAACACAACAGTTTATCAGCATTAAATGGACTTCCAGAACACATGTAAGGATTAGAAAACAAACGTTAACAAACCTGCGCCAATTCCAAATAGGAGAGCACCTCACCGTCGATGCCCACTCCACTCATGGCGGCCTTGGTCAGCTCCTGGACCGCATGCTGCTCTGCGGGAGACAGGGTGAGACAGAGTTAAAACCCCTACTCAAGCCAGACACCTGGCCTGGAGGAGCTGGACTGGGACCATGGAAAAGAGGAAATACTGGACCCAGCTCTGGGCAGACACCAGAAAAGAATCTAGGGCTGATTCCGATGGGTGGTCTTCCAGGCTCCACCCACATCTCTGGGGTTTCTGGTCTGTGCTAGAATTCTCTAGACCTGCCCAGCCCTGCCTGGGATCCTAACCACTGGCCATACGTGATGATTCAGATTTAGATGATTTAAGATGAGATAATACTTAGCTCCACAGCCACATAAATGCTCTGTAGCCACATGTGCCCACTGCACTGGCACACAGAGTATAGAGACAGAACACATCTGTCCCTGGTAGACAGTTCTCCAGGGCAATGTCTGTCTAGGCAGTCTTCCATGTTCCAGGGACACAGTCCTGTTTGAGAGTACTCTCAGTAGCCTCTGACAGCGAAGACTGAATGACTAGAAGACTAAGTCTACTTGAGGAATTAAAATTGAGGGTGCACAGGTTGGGGAGATGGCTCAGTGGTGAAAACAATTACTGCAAAAGCATGAGGACCAGAGTTGGGGTTCCAAGAATTCATATAAATGCTCAGTGGGCATGGCATCTGCCTGAATTCCAGCCTTGCAAGGTGGAGACGGGGTCCTCCAGAGCTAGGGAGACTAGTCAGATCCTCTAGCTCTGGGTTTGACTGATAGACCTTCCCTCTGTGAACAGGATGGAAGAGCCACAGAAGATGATTCCCAACATCAATCGTGGGACTCGACACTCAAGTGCACCCACACATGTGCACTCCCCCGTACAAAAACATACATATATGCACACCAAAAAACTAAAAATGAAAAAAAATAAGTAAAAATAAATTGAGGATAAAGTTGTCGGTGGAGTGCTTGTCTAGTATGTACAAAGCCCCGGGTTTAGTCCCTAGTACTATATAAACCAGGCATGGTGGTCCACACCTGTAATCCCATCACTTGGGAGGTGGAGGCTGGAGGATCAGAAGTTCATGGTTATTCTGACCTACAGAGTGAGTATGAGGCAAGCCTGGGCTATAGGAGACCCCTCCCCCCAAGAAACAAAATGTGAATGCATATATCAGTCTCAACAGTTACAAACAGATGATCCATAGTTCAACGTCTTGGACTGTAAAGATGGGGAAGAACTTCAGCTGTAAGTAGCACAACTCCAGTTTGAGAGTTGTCCTGCTTGGGCTCTTGTATCCAGATCTTGCAGTTGGAATTTAAATTGTGGCTCAGAGGCCAGGGTGAGCATTCCTGGGGTCTCCTTGGCCTGCCTCAGGTTAACACAGGTATGCGAAGTCTTGGGGCACATTTCTAGCACTTAGATGATGGCATCTCAGGCAGTACTTGTTTTCCTCCAGCACAGGAAGACCTCATTGACTGTGCTCCTTTTACTGGAGTTTGCAATTTTAAAAAGTGAATTAAAGATTTATGTTCACCTTGCTAAGCAAGCTCACTGGGCTGTTTTCCTAATCGTGTGTGCTACTTTGTGTCTCATGTCCCTTCTGGTAATTCTTGCACTGTTTCAGACTTTTAAATAATTATCAAATGATGAACTGTTATGATGTTCCTGAACCCATGTACAATGGAGAAGTTCACAGATGAATACTGTGTGCATCCTGATTGCCCCACTGGCAGAGGTTCAATCTCCCCGTCCTCAGGCCCTCCTATCCCCTGAGAACACAATAATATTGAAAGTTGGTCAATTAACAATCTTACCATGGCTTCTAAGTGCTCAGATGAGAGGAAGAATCATTTTAATGGAAAGCTAGAGATGATTACGTTCAGTAAGAAAGGCATACTGAAAGTCAGGATAGCCCAAAAGCCGGGCCTCCTGGACCAAATCATCAAGTTGTGAATGCAAGAAAGCTCTACAAGGAAATGGAGAGGGTAGACAAATGCAAGACCGTGAAACAGCTTCATGCTGATCTGGAAAAAGTCTTATCAGTTTTGAGAGATCAATCCAGTTGCAACAGTCCTTTAAGCCACACCTAACCCAGAACAAAGCCAGCTCTCTTCAGTTCTTTGAAGGCTGAGAGAAGTGGGCAGAGGCCGGTTCATGGAGTTTAAGGAAAGATACTATCTCCATCACATAAGGATGTGGGTGATACAGCATGTGCTGATGGAGAAGCTGCAGTAACTTTCCTGGAAGGTCCAGCTGAGATTACGGATGAAGGCTCTCTGAGCAAGAGATTCTCAAGCGGACAGAGCAGCCTTATACTGAAGGAGGCACCATCAGGGGCTTTCATAGCTAGAGAGGAGTCAGCACCCTGCTTCAAAGCTTCTCACTGGGGGTTGAGGCAGCTGGCGACTTTAAGTTGAAGTGATGCTCACTTCTTGCTCAGAATTCTGGGGCCCTCGGGAGCTATGCTCAGTCTGCTCTGCCTGTGCTCCCTAATGGATCAGTAAAGCTGGAGGGCAGAGCCGAGGTGTACTGGGAAGTACAGGAAGCCTACTGCCCTAGTTTCATTTCTGGTGCTGTGATAAAATACTCTAACCAAAAGGGAAGAAAAGGCTCACAATTCCAAGTTGAGTCCATTATGGAGTAGTCAAGGTAGGAACTCAAGTAACTAGTCACCTTATACCCAGAATCAAGGGCAGACTTCCTGTACTCATACTACCTGCCTGCTTGCTTGCTAGCTAGCTTTCTTCATTCTTACACAGTTCAGGCCCTAGCCTAGGGAATGGAGCCACCCACAGTGGGCTGGTGGTACCTACATCAATAATCAGTCAAGACAATCTCCCACAGACATGCCCACAGGGGAACCTGATCTGAACAATTGTTCATGAAGACTGTCTTCCCCAGTGAGTCTAGGTTGTATCAAATTGACAGTTAAAACTAACCAGTGTATCCACAACCTGAAAAAAGATTCCTTTCACTGTATCTCTGCTGCTTGGCAGGGCATCTGGCCCCTTGAGCTCTGACAAGAGTTTTCCAGTCATTTTCATGCCCAAGAGCTTGTTCACTCTGCAGCGAAGGGCCTGAGGAGTCATTCTGATTTTCAACTCCCATTACTTAAGGAACCTATTTTGTGAGGCCCTGGTGGACATAATGTTCCTTCTGATGGAGTTGGGCAAAATAAATTAAAAACGTCTGGAAATATTTAATTGCATTAACGGCATCCATTCTAGGCGTCATGAGATGAGGTCAAAGTATCAATGATTTCAGGCGTCTGGAAGAAGTTTGCTCTCTCATGGATGACTCTGGGGGTGTGCATGTCAAGATTTCAGTGAAGCAGCAGGTGATGGAAACAGCAAGAGACAGAGGTGGGAGATGGACAGGAGAGCACGGAGACCAACGAAGTTACTTCCGTGTGGCCACTAAACACCAATGGGTGGGGCTTCAGCTCACTGATGAACAAAGGAAGTGTTGTCCCCAGACAGAAGCCACTCCCGAGGAAGACACTGCTTACGTTCTGCCGTAACTATGGACACAGAATATTATTAAAGTGCTCTGATAAAGAGGCGGTGGGGAGGTGGCTCACTGGATACTTTGCCCTGTAAGCACAGGCTTGGAGTCAGGTTGTCAGAACCCACCTAACAGCCATGTGGGCGTGGCTGCTGCCTGTAACCCCAGCTTGTGAGGCAGAGACAAGGGGGTCCCTGGAAACAAGCTGCCCAGGGACACTAGCCAAAACTGAGGAGCTCCAGGCTCATTGGAGAAACTCTGTCTCAGGAAACAAAGAGCAGGGAAACTGAGGAGAACACCTGACATCAACTTCTGGCCTCCACATGCATAAGCACACACATTTATGTATACCCACATTCAAGTGCAGTCACACACATGTGAACATGTATACATATAAGCACACATACCATACACAAATACACAAACAAAAAATTAAAAAAAGAGGTAGCAGGGTTTGGACTGACTCAGTTTTGAAATTCTACTGTGGGCAAATCACTGTCAAGTGACACGGCACTGTGTGGAGCGACCTTTCCTGAAATCAAGGTCAGCCGATGAATGAAACTCCACTGCCGTCTCATTTGAAGAAACTGTTACTGGGATCTTTATCCCCACCACCTTGATCAGACACAAGCATCTTACAGCAGGAACAGATGGCTCAGAGGATATTTTAGGAGCATTTTTCGAAGAAGTGATTTTCATTTTCCAGTTAAGCATGTTCTAGTCACAATGCTACCTCAGCCTTAACAGCCTGTAGTATAGTGTGGACATAACTTTACTACTCACTGGGACACTAAACCATTCACTGCAAATCGCTTTCATTGTGCCATCTGCTTTGTTGCAGAGGTCTGGGGTGAGACCGCACTGTCTCTGAATCTCCCTGCACTGTTTGGTCCTGCCTGTCTCCTTCCCCGCTGTGTCCTTTTTAAATAATATTTTATGTATTATTTTTGGTTTTTATTTATGTTTTTAATATTTTATTATTTTTTTATGTGTATGAGTGTCTTGCCTGCAGGTGTGTAAGTGCACCCATGTGGCACGATGCCCCCACAGAGGTCAGGAGAGGGTGTCGGATCTCCTGGAACTGAAATTACGGACGGTTGTTAATGGCCATGTGGATGATGGGATTTGAACCTGGGTCCTCTGCAAGGGCAGTCAGTACTCTTAACCGCTGAGCCATCTCTCCAGCTCTGTATTATTTTTATTTTATGTGTAGGAGTGTATTGCCTGCATGTAAGTAGGTGCACCTGTGTCGTGCAATGCCCGAAGGGGTCAGAAGAGGGTGTTGGAGTCCCTGGAACTGGAGGTACAGATGGCTTTTAGCAGCCATGAAGATGCTGGGAATCAAACCCAGGTCCTCTGCAAGAGCAGCCAGTGCTCTTAGGTGCTGAGCATCTCTCCAGCCCCTGGCTGTGTTCTTGTGAACCCACATTGCTTCTAGCTGCAATCTGTTCCCTGATAAAACAACCCTCCTCAACTGGACAGATGTACAGAACTTCTCAGAACTACATTTCCCAGAGAAGCCACCTGGGCTTTTTAAACAACAGCAACTGTGATGGTTAATTTTGATTCTCAACCTTACAGGACCTAGAATCATCATGGAAGATCTCTCATCACTCCAAGTGTGTCTATGAAGATGTTTCTAGAAAGCTTTGCCTAAGGTAGGAAGACACACATTACTCGTGAAGATGGTGCCATTCTATGGGCCGGAGTCCCAGACTGAGTAAAAAGGGGAAAGTGAGCCTAGCACCAGCAGTCACCTCTCTCCGCTTTGTGCCTTCCCTGCGCGCCAGCATCCTTCCCTGCCCCACTGTGCCCCCCCTCCCCCCGACCCTGTGCCTTCCCCGCCCTGATGGACTGGACTCTCACACTGTGAGTCAAGATAGACCCTTTCTCCCTTCCTTCAGTTGCTTTTGTCGATAGCAATAAGGAAAGTAACTAATGCAGCATCATTTTTTGATATTTATTTGACACTGGTTTGTACAGTATTTTTACTCTAGAAGAGTCTTAAACACTTCAAAGATGCTCTAAGTACTCTACGCCAGACGCTGCACACCAAACACCATGATTCAAGGAGTCATGATGAAAAGCTATGTAGATCAGACAATTCTAACAGTAACAGCAACATCTTATAACAAAACTAAAGCTTGGAGTCCACACAGACTCTTTCTTTGGGTCACTTAAAAAATCTGTCATGCAGAAACCAGCCCCATGCTATCCGTGCCAGAACGAATAGTTTAGCAAAAACTGCGCTAAGCTGAGGCTGAGCATGAACTTTGTTTGACAGACTTGGCTCCAAGTTACTTTTGGCTATTTTAAAAATCAAGTTTATCATCAGAGGACAAATACTTGTATAAGCTGTGGATAGTTATATCGCTTGGAACTCATGTTTCTGAAAAAGGGAATTCTTACTGCCACCTCCTAGAGTTAACGTTTAAAAAAGTAGCATACTCATTCATTTGGATCTACAACTTCAGGTATATTGGAACAAAGATAAGCTGTTTTTTAAAAATCTAATACTGATGCTTCAACTCTTTCTTTTTAATTGGGGAAGGAGCAGAGAAGAAAAGAGGACTTTTATTCCCAGCTGATTTGTGTGTAGGAGGGCAGAGAAGCTAATCTCTGTAAAGCCGCTGCTGGAAAGGATAGGGTGCAGTGACTGGTTGGTTTATTCCTTGCTCATTTTATTTACTCAGTAACTCAGTCAAGATTTGGTAAAGCCTAACATGGGAGACATTCTCTCCATGCAGAGGGAGGGCCAAGGAGCAAGGCAGGCATGCCTGTGTCTGCTGGGAGCTAGGACTCAACTAAGTATAGCAGTAAACACCCAGATTACTAGCTGATACTTGTGGTGGAAGAAGCAGAAGGCTTACCAGTTTTAAACAAGGCATTTAAACGCATGTATTCCAAACAGACCGGTTGCAGTTTACCAACTGAACAAATCTAGACATTACAGATAAGACTTCTGAAGCTGAGCCAAATCTCCCCTTTCCTCCCAAAATGAACTTGACAATATCAGAATATTTTCTAAAATAGCTTTAAGAGTGAAAAAAACAACAAAAAAACCCATCATGCTTACTGCATGCCAGCCAGTGTTCAAGGCCCACATATATTTTACCACAGTTAACTTTCACAGCTTAATGGAAGCTAATATTATCCCCATTTTAAAGAGCGAGAGGTGCATATGTGTGTGGCGGGGTGAGGAACAGAGCTCAAGTCACCCCAAGGACAAAGTCACCCAGTCAGGAAGCAAAGGGGCCAGGATGGGAACCTGGGAGAGCTGACTGTCTTCTGTCTTCTCTGCTTCTGCAGCCTCTTCCTCCAACACTGCGTCTGTGCACTGCACAGCATGCATTATGGGAATAATGTTGATACACTAGTTTGATTTCTAATTCTGTGTTCCACAGGTGATCAGCATGCATGGAGCATGCGCCTCCAGGCCAGCTGTCCACCATTCACCTGTCGATTTGCACTGCCTCGCGGGGGCCTACCGTACAGCTGGAGCTCAAGAATTACCTGTTGAATTGAACTGGGCTGACTGATAGATCTGATCAACTTCTACCACCCCACATAAGACTGTTCTGTTTGGGGAGATATAAATCAATGTTTGATCCTAGGAAATCTTATTTTTGTTCAAATATGATTTCAATTAGTGGGCTGGTCAGACACTGCCTAGCCCCAAGTCACGAGGCTTACCTGCAAGCGCAACCAGGTGTGGCAGGCAAAATCTGTTTGCCAAGGCAATTAATTCCAGGGGGTCCAGGTCCAAATTAGGCGACAACTGCTTGGTGTAGAGATAGTCCAGTACAGCTTGCATTGACGTCTTGTTTATGCTTGGGAGACGCACCTGAGACAGTGAATGAAAGGCTCAGTTCTCTGCGGGAACTGGGATCTGCATGCCTTCGGGCTGTGCTGCTTCGGAACATCCCACCTGTGTGAGCTGTGGATGGTGAGTCCCAGACATTCCTCTGAGACTGTGCATAGATCTTGTTCTATAGCTATGGCTATAGATTTGTAGGTGACAAAAGAGGGACGCTACTTCACAGAGCCTGATGTGGGATTTTTAAATGGCTATTTGGACATATAAATCAGACAAATGGGTCATAAATGCATGATGATATTATGGAACATCCCTGTGGAGGACACTCCACTTTGGAGAGAGAAATATCCCAGCAACATGGCAGGTGCTGAGGGAGCCGCATGTCACACTGCTGCCAACGTGACAGCCCTTCTCTCAGGGGGCTGAATGATGGAAGAATGGCCACTCTTGCCGCAGCAGCAACAGGCTTGATTCTGGCTCCACTGGTACCTACCAACATCATGTCATCACTGTATTTTTTTCTCCAACCACAGGGATTCAGCACTACAGAAATATTGGGTCTCTGTAAACCCAGCATATTCCAAAGGTCTAACCTGGAACATATTAGAGATACAGTTTTGGTTGGGTTGGGGGCAAGGATCCCCACAGTTCCTGTCCTGTGTGACCAGAGCTTCTGTTCACAGAAAGGCATGCTGCATTTCCTAGGGAGCCAAGGATGGCCTGAGGCCTCAGTTCTAGATTTGGGGGGTAGGGCACAGGTCAATGGGAATACATGCTCTATTTCAAGTCTCTACTAACCCCACAAGGTGGTCCCTGGCAATAATATAGGGTTCTTGGGCCCTCTTGTTTGTCTGACTGGCAGGTGATATTCATGAAAGCTACTTTGTTAGAAGGCCTCCTATGCACTGGTCTCTGGCAAAGCTCACCCTGTGCTCTATCTAACTTGCTCCCTCCATCTTCCCTAGGAAGAAGAGACTATTACTTTTGCCATTTTACAGACAAGGACTTTGTGGACCAAGGTCACAGAACTAGTCAGTAGTAACTGGGGTTTAAACCCAGGGAGTGAAGTTCTCAAGTCTGTGTGCTGAGATGCTCTGTGGCCCTGCAGCCTCTCCATAGCAGTGCTTTGGGTTATGTAACAATAGAGCACAATATTTCACTAAGTTTTTAATGAATTAGAGATCTAATTCAAAAGGATAGGCAGTTATAAACTCCTTAGCGCTGACACTTGACAGAACTGAATGCATATATAAAGATATAAATCCATAAAAGACACATGATCCCATCTCTGTATATATGGTAATATTTATGTTGCATGATTACCCAGTCCACATATAAGCACAAAGAAAGAAAGGCTGCTGAAGATGCATGTAAACACACATACATGTCTTTGTCTCCTTTAATTCTACATGGGCTCATGGGCTACGCTTCCAGAATTGAAGGTGTTGGTATCTTCCACATTATTCTCCTGGGCGTCACTAGCCACCACAAATGGTAGAAGTGTTCTTTAATGTGAGGAAAGCTCAGAAAAAACGTTCTGAGAAATAATAAGTAGTTATCCTCTGATTTCACAGAGTCATTGAAAACAAGGATGATCCCATGAATGAGCTGCCTGGGTCTCTAGCCGGACCTCTGCAGAGACTGTGGTGAGTCCAAGCTGATATTATAATTTTATAATTTTTAAATACTACCAAACTAAGACTGCCATTTGCTGTTGACGCTGCAGGGCCCCTGCCCCTTGCGTTTCCAGGACAGACTGTAATAACTGACGTTGGATCTTCTGTAATGTGCAGCTGTTGGGATGTTGCTCATGCCTCCCTTCAGCCAGCTGTGGCCAAGTAGAGATAATTAATTTCTATCACTGTGTATCTAACGCTAGGCACCCTTGTGTGTTTGCTTCACACACACACACACACACACACACACACACACACGTTTAAAGACCACTTACATTTATCTTACATTTATACTGTACTGGTAACACATTGATAGATGCCCATATAGATTTATTTCTGTGTATGAAAACAGGGCAAGGTTTCATTTCTCAAGAATGGTATTTGAATGAGTAGGATTTTCTTAATTGAATGTTAAGGAGTGAAACTTTCAGACTTAAGCCATTCTGTAGTAAAAGCCCCCATATACTAAGAGCAGATTGTCCGCTCTCTCAGATATGAAGGTATTATGGGTTGCTTTGAAGGGGACAGTGCAAAAGTGTGGGGACAGGCCTAGAGGTACATGGCCCAGAGGTTCGCCAGGAAGTGCTGAGTGACCAGTGACACGTCACTCATCCTCAGTGACCTTCATGTTCCTCATCTGTTACACAGGAGAAATCTAGGCTATATTCTAAAGCTGCTTCTTCATTGAGACTGGGCTTTAAACTGCTCAGAGTTCCTTAGCCTTGTTTTCTGAGTGCTTTCTAAAGCCTTCATCCAAGACATTAGAAATGCAGATGTGAGGAGGGCGCCCTGAGTAGAAAGGAGGTATTTCTGGCAACAGGAGATGACACAGTCTACTGCGTACCGCCCTGGTCCCTGGTGTCCTTGGTATGCTCTGATGTAAGTAATCACCCACAACCTGCTGCTTCCTCTCTGCTCAACATGACACTAACATCTTTTGATGATCTTAGGGGCCCTTAGAAGTAACCATCAAATGAGAGTAAATGCAAAACACTTTCATAACATAATTTTTTTTCTCATTGCTGATTGTATTTTTTAGACAAAGCCTGTTTTGGTGATTTCCACATTTATAATGAGCTAACTAACAATGGAGAGACCTATTTATAGCACTTGAAAAATAACATTAGTACAGTTGCATAAGAGACGGAACACAGAGAGGTTCGTGTCCCACCTGCTGAATGCGGCTTCAGGAGACACTGGAGCGACCAAGGAGAACAGACTGTTGCCGTTCCAGCCGGCGCCCCACATTGTACTTTAGTTGGTTTAAAACTGTGATTGTGAAGATTAGCTCAGACCATTGGGCTTATAGTTAGAGGTAGGTTCATAGAAAAGGAGAAAATATTTGAGAGCTAGCACACCACACTATATCCAGGCATGCATTTTTAATGTGCCATTTACTGGGTGTCTCAGGAGAAAATGATGCTTACTGCTACATTAAAAGTAATGAGAAAAAAATATAAGTAAAATGTGTCTTCTTGATATTAAATGACAAAAAGTTAAAGCAGCATCCATGGGCTCATTGTACTTTCCAGATATGTATGTGGATTTTTATTAAGGTCTCTTCTGTCCCTTGCAAAAAAAAAAAAATGGCTGAATGTCAGGGGCAAGACAGAGTTCCTCAAGGCAAAGAAAGACTCCTTAAAAAATGGCCTAGAAAGGTCAAGGATAAGGGTGGAGCCCTTCATGGAGGGTTTGGTGAGCAGATCACAGAGGGCACTTTCCTCTACTTATGACACATGCTGCCTTACTTTCCTGGTTCAGAAGAGGGACTTGGGATTTTTAGGGCTTTTACATGACAAGCACCTCTCCCCCACTCTGTGGAGAAAAGTTAATGCTGGTGATAACGTGTGATGAACACATACTCTAGGCACGGCACGTGCGCGTCCACACTTTGCCTGCCCCCTGGAGAACATTTTCCTGTCATTCCCATTTAAAAGATGAGCAAACAAGGTTGAAAGAAGGTTAGCCACTGGCCCAAGGTGAAGCTGAAATGGAAGTTCATAACTGCTTTCTCACAGTCTGTCCTGGAAATATAAAGAGACAAGAAGTGGGCAAGCCAAGGATGGACAGCCTTCTTAGGACACTGGGTCACGGAGTTTTGGTACAGACTTTGGTGACTTGGTTCATAGTTTTTTTTTTTTCTGAATGGCTGAAATCTCTGCCTATATTAGGCTCAGCTTTAGTTCTGAGAGGGGAGGACCTAGTTCTTCCAGAATCATGCTGAACAGGGGCCACCTCTGGGTGGGTAAACAACCATGTATGTGTGTTTGGGTAAGCAACCATGCGTGTGCTCACACGGGCTGCCAAGTTTGGTTTTGGTCACCTCGCCTGAACATGTTAATCTAGAGAGATTACAGTCCCTTCTATGAAGGGATAGAGGGGATTAGCATCCCTCAGGTCAGCGTGGACACTGTCGCTTTGGGCCTGGGTTCCTGGCCTTGATTAACTTTGCTCTGCTGAGGTAACAGTGGGCTGTGTGTGGTGGCATCGGCAGCGTTATCAGCAGCAGCATCAGCATCAGCAGCATCAACATCAGCAGCATCAGCAGCATCAGCAGGCATGTGAGCTGGAGAGATGAGGCACCACCTGCCTCTGAGCATGGTTGCTCTGGGATCACTGACATCAGGAAAATGCTGGTCACCTGAGGTCTCACTGTGGGGTAGCTTAATTTTTCTCGTGTTTAAGTGGTTGTTTCTCCTGTCAGCATCAACACCTTCAAACCAAGACTACTATGGGGGGTAAGATGGGCTAAATGCTCAGGAATTATTTTCTAAGCCTTGACTCTCACACCCCACATCTGGGTCATCCCTGAGTGTTGCATGTGGGGAGGCTCAGACCCCAGAAGTCACATGTGTGCAAGGCCACCCAGCTTGGAAGTGATGGAGTTTCAATTTGAGTCACGAGGCTGTTCACTGTGCAGCTTCCAAGGCACCTCAGAGCCCCAGGTTAACCCTCCCACCCCTTGGGCCACATGGGAGGGGGACTTGGTTAGATCCAAGTGAGGCCCTCCTGATTTATGAAGACTGTCTCAGGCCACAAGAGGATGCTGGGATAATTCTGATTTTTTTCCCCTCCAAACAGCAGGCAGCTCTTTGCTGGGGGCTGGTTAAGGAGCAGCTGTGGTTTGTTCTGGAAGCAGGATGGTGACCCAGTGACCTCAGTCCCAGCCATTCTTGGCTTGTGATTCTAGGACTCTGTTTCCCTCCTTGGAACGCAAATGCAGGTTCCTGGGGCACCATGGGAGTGCTCTGTGCTCTCCTGGGAGCACCCCTTTTGAAAAGTTAGCCTTTGTTTTTAGTACTTCTTTTGAGAGTTGGGAGAGATGCTGAGATAAGCTCTAAGGACAATAAACTTGATGGGGTGTCCCCGTGTTATTTTTTAGAAAAAAAGATGTTAAAAAATAGTTGCAAAACTCAACAAAAGTGCTTGTTTCTCCTTTCTAAAGTTAGAAGGGCCTGAATGGATTTTTTTTTTTTTTTTTTTTTTTTTTTTTTTTTTTCAAGACCCATCATTTGAGGGTTTTGTTTTTTTTTTTTTTGGGTTTTTTTTAGATTTTTTGGGTGGAGGGGGCTGGACCTACCTAGCTGGCCTGGAACTCCCTATATAGACTAGGCTGGCCACAGATGAAGACAGAGTGTCTTTGAGATCCTGCTTGCTAAGGATTCTAAGTGAGGTCTTCTAAGCAAGGTCTTCCTTTTGGAGTGATAGGACCCTGCAGGCCCACCAGAGCGGTGGCCACCCACACCACTCCTGTCTCCCTATGTGAAACAAGCCCCCTCCTAGCTCCTTGGTAAGAGTAAGAGGTCGGGGCTAAGCTTATAGTGCTGGGGCTTACAGCTGGACCACTGGGTACATCTCCAACTTTCTAATGATGCACCCAAGACACATAGATGGAGCTCTGAGGGTCTCCTGTCTGCTGAAGAACTCCTTTCACTTCCCTAAACTTTTGGGAGGCAGGCTGTCCCTCTTGCACTTGATCACCCCAACTGTTACTGTTTGGTGGACGGTATGGCCAGTCTGATGGAGGAAAGGTGTGAGAATGCTTGCTGAGCACACGTGTGCTCTCACATCAGCGACCAACAACGTAGTGCTCCTCACAACTGCGGATGCGGAAGCAGGCAACCTCACACTTAGGCGCAGTCCAAGGAAGCAGATGAGGAAGGGAGGTCATCTGGCTACTTAAACACCACTGGGCTTCCAGGAAGACACATACCTCACTGTTGGTGCTTTCCACAAAGGACCCCCCGAACATGGCTGCCATCCACTCACAGCTACAGATCAGCAGTGGCTTGTGGGCACTGATGGCTCCGTCATCCAATGTAAACGTCACATCTGCCAAGGACGGAGGGAACACAACCGTGAGCCAGCCTCGCTAGGGTCTCACCAAGGCCTTCTCCATGCACATCCACATCAACCCGAATCTCTTCCCCTCTCCTCCAGGTCTATGGATCCTGTGTCAGCCTATGTCACTGGCATGCCCAGTTCCCACATTAAAGAGCATACACATGTAGGACCACAACACAAATTCTCAGAGTCGGAAAAGGAGCACTTGGGAGGTGATCATCTTTCCTCCTTGTTCAGAACGGGACAGGCTGAGGCTCTCCTGCCTAAACTGTCAGGATCAGAAGTGTTGGATTTAGGGTTTGTTCACTTTTGAAATGTGCATATACATAAGGATAGTCTTGGTGACAGAATCCAAGTTTAAATATGAAATTCGTTCATGTTGTGTAAGCATCTGTTTTTATTGTTTTATTGATTTGGTCTGTTTTCTTTTTGAGACAGGGTCTCCCTGTAGCCCCAGCTGGCCTGGAACTCACTATGTGGACCAGGTTGGCCTTGAACTCACAGAGATCTGCCTGTCTCTGCCTCCCGAGTGCTGGGATTAAACGTGTGTGCCACCACAACCCGCCCACCTTATACATCTTGTACATACAACCTGTAGCTCATTTCAGTTAACTTCAGGGATGGCCCACTCTCACCTTACTGAACATTTGTAAGGTGACCTTTTTATTAACAGTCAAGCTTGCTTCTACGCCACCCACGATGACCAGTGTTTAAAGATTTTTGACTGTTCCATGAGGATAAGTGTAAACTTTTCTCTTTGTTGACACTCAGAAAGCTGGATTTTTGAGCATGTGAGGTCTTGGATTTTTTTTTTTTTAAAGTCAGGGTTGGGTATTTAACATGTACAGAGATTGCTCATCTATCCATTGCTACTGTCTGGCCAGGTTTACTTACCTGTGTTATCACTATGTGTGTGTAAACTTCTTCATTCACAATTTATCACCGGTTTCCTAAGGACAAGACCATCTTCCTACAGAAATATACTATTATTGTAGCTAGGAAAATAAAATATAATTCCCTAATGCCAGGCATTCCCTAGAACATACTTAAGTGCCCCCACTCACCCCTTAATAGCATGCCATGACTTTTCTAAAGGGAGTCCCAGGAAGCCCCCACTCAAGTTTGGTTCCATCTCAGCAGTAGCGGAGGGATTTAATTAGCTTCATGGAATATCTACCCTTTAATTTACTGTACAGTTATGATATGTTCTTTCTATTAACATTCAAGACTGCTTCCATATTGTGATAGCCAGTGTTTACAGTAAATATTGCTCACAGTGTTAAAGTGAATGGAGTGGCTCGGTAGCTCCTTACGAAACGTTTAGCACCACAGCAGGGGTTATGAAGGATAAAGACAAAAATAGAGGTATCCAAGTAAGCAGAACTCAGGAAGTCACCTCTTCAGTGTAGTGTGCTTTCCTCACACTCATACGTACCAAGAGGACAATTTTAGAACAAAAACAGCACAGGTGTGTAAGACAGAACAAAGCAGGGGTCAGCAAGACAGACAGGATAGTCTCCAGAGCCTGAGCGATTACAGCAGGGCTCTGGAGGCTACACATGGCATAGTTATCAAAGGCAAGAAAGGAAAGGCAGAGCTCTGTCTAGGAGTACAAGGGCAGAGAATAGACCAGGCACCTGGGGTGGGAAGACAAGCATCACCCACTTGCCTCTAGGTGCAGAAGTCACTGAGGCCTGGACAGTGGATAGGAGAATTTGCCTTGGAACAGATCCACAAAGGGAGTGTAAGCACCCAGAGAACCAGGGTCAGATGGCCTGTTCTGTGAACTGCTTTCCGCAGCACCAAAGCTGGGGTTCTAGGTCCTCACTACACTTATGGACTAAGTGGCCATGTGTGGGTTCCCACCAGTCTGTTCCTCAGTCTCAACCTTTGCAAAGTACAAAGACTAACCCTTAGGCCTGATAAGAACTAGGAAAGTTAATCTTGCAGCGAAGGGAGGTGCACAGATGCTGGGGAGTGTTACCGTTTTCCTTTCCTGAGCTTGGTTTGCTGATGTTGGATGAACCACCCCCAAAGGTCTTGCTGCCCCGGCTCACCTGAGAATGTGCCTTTGCTGAGACACTCCTTGATGCGGTTGGCTTTCCTGACATGAAAGGCCTTGGTGATCTCCTGGTTCATGAATGCTTCCCTGTTCACGATGTTCTCCACCATCATCCTCAGATCGAACATCTCCAGGACCTCAGCAATCTGAGCCAGCCCCAGCAAATCCTTCTCGTTCTCGTCCAGCTGCCCCGTATAGAGGAAGCGCAGCAAGGTCCGGAAAGGACCCGGCTGCACCGAGGCGTCCATCCTGACCACGGTCACCGGGCCCACCCGCTTGGAGATGGGGTTGACTCGCACTTCCCTGTGCACGCTGATGAACCCCTTGCTCCAGCCGGACGGGGCCTGTGCATCAGGACGGGAGGCCTCGGCCTCCAAAATCAAGCTCTCCGGTGGGTCCTGGCCTGAAGATGCACCCGGGTCCGCCGGCGGGGTCCTCGGGGGGCCTTCATCCTCTCCGTCCTCCCCATCCTCCCCATCCTCTCCATCCTCCCCATCCTCCCCTTCCTCGGCGGGGCCAAGACTCTGCGTCCGATCTTGCAGATCTCCGTCTTGTGTCCCCTCCTCGCAGGCTCCTTCGACCCAGCTGGGGGATTCTTCACACTCCGTTAAGAAAAGATCGTAGAATTTGGAAGAAGAGGTAGCGAGGTAAATCCGGTGCGCGAAGATGCGCTCGCGGCCCTGGAGGACGAAGAGCACGTCGGCGCACAGAGGGCTGTCCAGCAAGGCTGCGGTGCTCGGACCCGCCGCCGGGCACTCGGGGACCCTGATGACCGGCGGGGGCGCTTTGGGGGGCAGGAAGGGCGCCTGGAGCAGCGGCTTCCGGACCTTCTTCAGGTGCGACTTCCAGAACTGCAGGTGCCTGCGGGAGATGAGCGCCGCGCGGATGGCGTTGTCGAACACGTCCTTGATGCCGAACTGGTCAAACACGCTCGTCTCGTAGTAGGGGATGCCCAGTTCCTTTGCAACCTCTCGGCCCTTTTCTGGGGGCAAAATATCACCTCTTTTTATGGGCCTGAAATAGATTATTTTCAGAGATTATAATTGGCCCTATTTGAAGGAAAAAAGCGACCAGTGCCCAAGTTCCTAATTGAATTATACGTTTAAAATCCTACGCAGGTCTTAAAATTTTACTTTTAAAATTCTACATAGTGCTTGAAAATTCACTGCCACAAGTCTTTTAAATATAAAGGATTTATGACTGTAGAAAGAAATGCTTTTGGTAGCAGCTCTGGAAACCAAAGTATTGGTTTTTACTAGCTGTTTGATCCTGGGCAAGTTTTCTAACCTCTTTAATCCTCCTTTTCAGATATATAAAATAGCCACAATAATTTACGCTTTAAAGAACCCACGAGTGGTATAAATGACATAAAACACTTAGCACTATACTTGGTCCACAGTAAGTACTCAATAAAAGTTATTGATGCTATCACCATCTTTACCACCACCACCACCACCACCACCACTAGTTACACTTACTTTTGTAACTTTAAAATGCACCCATTTACACTGTTCTGTTGGAGCCTCACATTAGCCCTGTGAGGTATTAGTGTCATTCTGTGGTGTGAGGAAATGATGTTTCATGGTTTGCTTAGAAAGCAAGTGGCTGGACACCCCTACACCATCAGTGCAGGTCTACCTCCAGTGGCTCCTTAGGTCCCCTCTACCAGCCTTAGGGATCATCTTTCCTTTCTCTTTGCTCCTTTGGGCCTTCACTGTCTTTGGTTTGCACTGGTACAGGAGCCTCTTAACCTGCTTCTCAGAATCTACAGCTTTAGCCCAGTGTCCCCATCACTGCAAGAAGAGTACTTAACTAACAAGAATGACTTGGCCTGCAATTCTGGGCTCATTTCCTCTAATTCTACAAAGCCTGTGGGTAGAATAAAGTCCACACTCTTTTAGTCTGGCACATAAAGCGCATTTACAATCTAATCAAACTCAGGAAGGCCAACACAAGCTGCACAGTGCTGGGCTGGTGATGTTAACCAGGGAAAGATCCAGATCTGTGATTTGTTGCAACTCTTCAAGAAACACACGTCTGATTCTAAGATGTAGCCTTAGAAAGCAATCTTAAGTATTCTGCCTCTGACACTGAAAGTCATATGCTTCCCAGGCAGTGGTCCAGGAGGAAACAGATAATACTGGATGGAATTTGGATTTGAAGGCCTGGATGGAGGGAGGGAACACCTCAGGGCACTGACGAGGGTGGAAAGAGAGATCAGCACAAAGGGTTCAGCCTCCAGACTTCCTTCTGGCCTTGTGTGATTTTTGTCCTTGGGACTGACTTGAAATTAATGAATTCAAAGCTTAGTTCAAATGCCCTCCATTATGAAATATCAGAAGTGCTCTGTAGAGGGGACTGTGCTTTGCACTGCCTCCCCAGCTCTGCCACTCCGCTCCAGTCAACCCCATACCCACATTACTCTTAACATTCCATCTTTAGTCCACACACTTAGGAACAGAGGGACTGTGGAGATGGAACATGAAACACTTTCAGGAATTTTATCCATGTATCTGAAGCATCAGAAATTGTCTAAAATTGTCCCATGTGCCATCACTGGAAAAGCATAAAGGGTCGGGTCCAGGGAAGATTTTGCAATCAGCCAACTAGGCAAACATCAAAGCAAGGTGTTCCTATCACAATTTTGCTCTCCAGCAAAAAATATAAATGTGAAAAAGATAAAATTGTTTTATACAAAAGTAATCTGGGCCTGGTGTGGTGGTGCATGTCTTTAATCCAGCACACGAGAGGCAGGCAGATCTCTATGAGTTCAAGGCCAGCCTAGTCTACATAGGAGTTCCAGGCCAGCTGAGGCTACAGGGAGAACCTGTCTCAAAAAGACCAAAACCCCCCTTTTTATTATTTTAATAATTATGTGTAGTTTGTAGCCCCAGCTGGCCTGGAACTCTGCTATATAGACCAGGCTGGTCTCTGTCTCACAGAGGTCTGTCTGCTTCTGCCTCCTGAGTGCTGGGATTAAAGGCAAGCTCCATCATGCTTTGCCGGAGAGTATAGGTTTTAAAAAACCTTATTCTTTCCACAATTGGTATCCATACTGCATATATAGCAAGAGAAATTCTCCTTCAAGTGTTTTTTTAAAGAATATTCTGACCCTTCAGAATTCTATTAGATACCTTTAAAAAAAGTTGTGTTTTTTTTTTTTTTTTTGCAAGTATAGTTCCAATTTTACACACCTGTAATCCAAGCTACTCAGGAGACTGAGGCAGGAAGATTTAGGTCAAACCCTGTCTAGGCTACTGAGTGAGCTCCAGGTCATCCTGGGGAAGTCTAATGAGACGTGGCTCAAAAAGTCAAAAGACGGTGAGGAATGTAGCTCAGTGGTAGAATGTTTATCTAGACCGAGCAAGGCCTTAGGGTCTGTCACCAATATTGTAAAAAAATAAATTAAAACCCCCAAACCCTAGTAACAAAAAATAATAAAACCCACAATCTAGACTGCCAGCTTGGGAATGGAGGCTCATCTTTGAACCTGACACTCCCTGGGACCAAATGCTGGGGCTGAGCGCTGTGAGCATCAATGAACTTCATTCCCAACAGGCTAATTTCAAGAACGACACCACTCTGGACAAGTAACATTTTGCCTGGTATTTTATGCACCCCAAAGCACTTCCATACACCGCTACTGCACACTTAATAGAATTCGCTCCAATCACGGGCGGCCGTTTTACCAGACTGGATTCTAATGTCAGAAATACTGGTGAGCCCAGGATGGCATCCGGGTACCAGCTTCCTGACGAAGGGTGGCTTTGTAAGGCCCGCGGCTAATGGACGTGGGCTCCACGGTCCCTGAAAGTCAGAGGCACCTGCAACCTCGAATCCCTCCCGCGGATCACCGGGCCCTCCGCTTACCTTGCTAAGGGACGCCTGGCCCTGTTAACAGCCTCCAGGTCGGCATAACGGAGATCCAGCTGACAGCCGACCAGGACCACAGGTGTGCGAGGGCAAAAGTGCTTGATTTCTTGATACCACATGGTTTTCACATGATTTAGGGAATTGGGATTAGCGATTGAAAAGCAGAGGACCACAACGTCAGACCTGAAAGGGAACCAGAGAGGAAGGTCGGATTGCCTTCCCGCGAGCTGCTCACACCACCGCAGCTCCCCTCGGCCTCCCACTCATCCCACGCCATCACGCATCACGGCTAAAATGAAATAAGAGGCCAACACTGAACACATCTGTGAGTCATGCAGACAGCCTGCCAAGCCCCGGCATACCAGCCCCGACACAGCCCCGTGACTCAGTTCCACCCACACCGCGGGTATCTATGCACTGGGGTTTCCCTGAGGCTCTTTCCCGGGGAGATGGTTCCCCAACCTCGTTCAGTTCTGGAACTCCAACATGCCGAACTATTTCTGCTCACGAGAAATAGTTGCAAGATAAAAGGAAACGCTCCAAACCACCTTTTACCAGTTTAAAACACAAAGGTGAAGATGGTTCAACCCAATGAGAGAGAGACAGGCTTTAAACAGCGGTGAAAATGCTGGAGGTATTTGCTGCACGGCGTCAGCAAATACGAGGAAGGATTTCAGCCCCTCGCCCGCACGCACACAGGTACAGAGCACAGCCGGTTATCTGTTTCCAAAAGGAAGAGCCCCAACCGGGCAGGGATTTGAGCTTTTTACTCGGTATAAGGCAAGGCGGCAGTATTCAATAAAACGAGACGAGAATCAGATGAAGGTGCTAATCCGATCAGAAAATATTGGAAGCAGATCTCTCACATGTTATAATTGGGGAAAAAAGGTTTACAGTCAAATTTGATGTCAGGATCCTCTATTTTTACATAATAACTTACCAGTCAAAAAAAACTGCTCTATAAAACAGTTGTTCAGATTTGGTGCTTGGTGGACAGCTGGGGAGAAGGAATTCTAACCATCTTTTGAGGTTAAAATATGTCGAATGATGACTTGCAAAACAGCGAGGCAGGGCATAAAAAGTAGGAGGTAACGTTACCCACAGGGATTCCAGACTTCCTTGCAGATAAGTTCAGAAATAAACTCATTTTATGAGATGTTAATTCACTGCCTTTATTGTTTATGTAATGAGAAGAATCAAGTCTATGAATCAAAACAGCTTTTTAAAATCACTAATGAGGTTTTCTTCCTACATATCAATGAAGACAAACAAATATATGCAGACAACCATAAAACTTCTAAAAATAATCATTTGCAATGCAGAAAACTGCAGGGTGCTTACATTAAATGTAAGTCACAGTTGAGCCTTTGAATTTATTTGCAAGAGAAATTGCATCAGAACACAGCAAATAGGGGTGACAGTCCTGAGTTTAAAATATTCTTGTTACAAAAGAAAGCCTAGGACTCAAACTAGATGAACGTATTGCTCTGTGTGGTTATATTATTCGCCATGTAAAGATATTATCAAAGATTCTTGCATTCTGGATAATATGTGTAAAATATGCATAACTATACAAATGAAAAAGAGGCATGTCCTGTCTTCGAGATTCTGATTTAGTTAGTAGAATATTCTGTGCTCAGTCTTATTTCCGGTCATCATAAATAACAGTATCCAGTAAAGCCAAGAATGCTTTCAATATTACTTTTTTTACAGGCTGAATTTTCTGTTATTCATAATCCTATTTATATTGCATATCTGATGAAATCTTACTATAAGCTTCATCCTGATCATAAAGTAAAGCCACCACGGAATTTTGGCGTGGTGAATAACATGTGAGGTGCAACATCACAGACTGAGAATTAAGCAAGTATATACCCATCATCCACATTGTGCACTACTGTGTGCATCTACAAAATTGTTCTAATTGGTGCCTTCTATTTCCACATCAAGGAAAATCATTCTCAGGACTTCATTTGTATGACAGACATGTAGCTACATGTCAATTCTGCTATCTAATTTTATGATACAGCAATGTGAGGTTTTAAAATCAGAGCTGGCTTGGTTGCCAAGGTTACCAGGATAACACTCAGGTCACAGAACACAGAGGAATTGCTGTTCAGATGACCTGTGAGCGAGCCCAGACAGGACCTGGGGACAGGAGGGGAGTCTAGAAAAATGAAATCTTGTGGGCACAGCACAATGGTAAGACAGGGCAGGTCCAGAGGGCCTGACATCCCACCATGTTGCACCCATATCTAAATGCTTCAACTCCAAGGGGAATCTTGGAGAACAGTCAGTGTTCTGCAAATATTTTGCCTCAAAATGATGAGAGCTAAATTTTTTTTTATTAAAAAAGGTTGTACAGAGAGCAACACTATTATACTCAAATAGCATGTTGAGTCCAGATTTTACATATATCTTGGGATAGAGCATTTCATCTGCTCCTCTAGTTTTCCATTATTGTACACTGCAGTCACTTTAAAAAATCAGATCATATTTTAACAATCAACCTGCATTTGTTTAATTCATGTGGCCCTCAATACAAATCTAGGAGAAGCTGATGTGTGCTCTGAGTGGAATTCTCTGCTGCCGGAGGATGGATGGACTCTATCAGAGGCTCAGAGACAGTGGTCCGGGAGATGGAGCTGTTCACAGATACTGCTTTGACACCTCCTCTCAAACATCCTTTCCTAACTGGCATCCTGTCAGCATCCACTGTGATACAAACACCTAGAAAATCAAGTAACTATTTTGACAGCACCATTTATTTCTCTCAGATTTCTAGCCTTTTCTCTACCTGGTCCAAGAAAGCAGATGACCTGCAGCTAAGAATAGCTCCAGCTTCCGGCAGAATTCCAAGGAGTTGGGCATATTAAATAACTTTTAATCAAAACATTCATTCCTATGTGGAGACTGCTCAGTGTCTGACTAAACCTGTGTTTAAAAATGCCACTCCTATGAGAGATAAAAGGGAGGAAGTAAGCTCGAGCACTCTGTTTCCATGGCTCTGTTGCTGTTGTGTTTCTTTTTTTTCATTTTGAAGAGTGAGTTTAAAAATAATTGGGGAGAGTATGAAGAGGATGTTTTCATAGACTGGGCAGTAAGGGCTGTGTATAAACGACCTCGGGTTCTACTTCAGCTGTAAAAAAACGTGATGGAATTCTACAGCTATTTGAAGTAGAAAGCACAAGAATTTAAAAATTCAGAGACAGTCCAGGGTGGCCAGGGCTCTAAGCCCCAGCACTAGAATAGCCAGACGTGGTAGGGAAAGCCTTAGCATATGTGTATTTTTAATTAAAAAATATTTATTATTTTTATTTCATTTGTATGAGTTGTATTGCCTGCATATATGTAAATGCACGTGCACCCGTGTCGTGCAGTACCCATGGACGTCAGAAAGAGGGCGTCAAATCCCCTGGAGTCACAGACGGTTGTCAGCTGCCATGTGGGTGCTGGGAATCAAACCCAGGTCCTCTGCAAGAGCAGCCAGTGCTCTTAACTGCCGAGCCACCTCTCCAGCCCCGTGTTTTATTAATTTTGATTTAAATTATGACTAGGATAAATGAATTGATGACATAAAGCTGGAAACAATGGACTTAAGAACGCCTGGTCTTATCTGCTTGCCTGTTGAATGTGTATTTTTTAAGGAAAAATCATGATTTCTTGCTCTTAAGGGGCAAATAGTAATATAATAGTTCCACTTGGGCACTAGCACAGCAAATAATGTCCATGAAATAATATTTTGATTGGTTAACTAAAAGTGATCCAAAATGAATGGACCTTGTAGAACACTTGGGGATCTCCAGTTTCACAGGGGAGCTGTGGGAGAGACCAACTCGGGGCTGCAGGGGCTAAGGACAACCTCGACTGATCTGTTTTTCTTTATATATTAAATACACCACAAGGCATATTTTTTCAGTTATCTTTTTAGGGGAACACTGTCATGTGAAGGGCTGGCAGAGGCACTTGGGTAACATAAGGACTGCATGCAAGATTGGGGCTAATCTTTGTTGGAGAGTTAAAGAAAATAAATCTGAGAAAAGCACGCCTTATCATGTACCTTGTCTAGAGCCAGACTTCCAACAGCGGTTAGCATGAACCTCTAAGGCTGGCTTTACTAATGCTGCAAAATGGCAGGCAACGACTGGAGAAACTACCAGAAGCTTCCAGAACCTTCTGTAGTCCGGCTGCCAGAGTCAGACTTTGAAAAAGTGGTTGACGAAGGGTGGGTGGATAGTGCTATATGATTATTGTTTGGAATACAATAATTTCTAAGTTCTTTCCTATCAAAAGGGCCTCCTGTCTCTGCTGGAACCATCATACTTGCTAGGGGGTTCAAGCTAAGGGACTCTAGGCCTGGGTTTCCTTATCTGGTTAACTGAAAGAATAATCCTGATATTATCTTTTATTGAAAAACCTCACAACAGACTAATTTGTCAGGGAATTTGAAGGAAGGCAGATTCCATCTGGTCTTCAAGATATAGGGAGTTGGGGCGGGGGCTGTGTCCCCTGGTGTGCTCAGCTATGGATGGCTCTCTTGTGAGACCAAGATTTGATAAGCATGATATTTATTTCTGTATGGAACCATCTTCTTTAGTGACTATTTATACCCTTAAGACTTTGACTGTATGGTTGGACCCCACCTCTGAAGAAACCACCACTACAGCTATTTAATTTTTCAGAGGAGAGACCCCCAATGTCTTTCACATCACTAGGGCTCATGGTAGCCATCTGAACAGGCAGCTGCGCTGCTTCTTCTTCTTCCTCCTCCTCCTCCTTCTTCATTTTTTTTTTTTTTTGCCAGCATACATAAATCCTCCTCTGGCAAAGATTCATACAGGGAGTTCCTGATCTCTACCTCTAGGCCTTTGGACTCCTTCTCCCTGCCGATAACCAAAGTGTGTTCTTTCCGGAAACATTTTTGAAACCATTCCCACAGAGCACACAGCTCTCATGCATTATGCTCTAATGGTGCTATGCAAACAGAGACAGCGAGACAGCACAGAACAGCTGGGAGAATGGCAGAGAAAAGAAAATGTGGTTCTGGGGAGTTTTAGTAAGGGAGCAGCCTGGTGCATGAGATGCAGAGGTAGTTATCAGAGATGATGGCCATGACCCCGGAGATGGATGGCTGGGGACGCTCACACTCATGGAAGATGGACAGGCCTGTTGGTGGG